ATCAATTCATATATATATATATATATATATATTAAATTAGATAAATAATGTAAAATGTAAATGTTTAGAAAAGAAATCGGCAGCATTAATACTTCTACACCGCTCCTCTGCCACCGCCCTGCTCTGCTTCAAGCTCTTAACTTCCTCCCGCACCACCACCGCGACGGGGATGAAGAGAAGGAAGATAACGGCGGCGCCATTGGAAGCCAATTCCGCACGGGAGAACGAAACGAGCTTCTCCACAACAATAATAACCAAGAGATAGCCACCGAGCGCCACGGCGAGATACAGAAAATGATAGAACGTTTTGTCCACAACCGCCTCCCTGCCACGCGGCGGTTCAATTTTCCGCACAGTGTACACAAACACAAGAGACACGGCGGCCGGAAGCCAGGCAACAAGCAAAACCAGGGATTTGGAATTGTCAGCGCCGTAGAATCCCAAGTAAAGCTGCGTGAAGATTGCCCCGCTGAGACCCACGAAGCATTTCAGTAACCCAATCACGATTCCGCGGCTCTCCGGGAAGTTCTTGACGGCGGTGACGAGCGCCCCGGTGTTAGCGAAAGCCTGGGAATTTGCGCCCACGCAGATGTAGAGACACATCTGCCAAACGGGGGGGCGGGGAAGGCGGGCGGTGATGGATAGGTAGATCATGAGGTAGCCGAAGAGGTTCATGAAGGCGCCGAGGAGGAGGACGACGAAGGGAGGGGTGATCTCGTTGATGAGGCCGGAGAGGATGCCGACGTTGGCTCCGAGGTCTTTGAAGAAGGAGAGAGTGTTGAGGGTCTGTTGGTTGTAGTTGAGGGAGGATTTGATGTCTTTGGAGTAGATGCCGAAGATGTAGGTGGCGCCGGAGGCTGACATGATGAGGAAGCAAGCGTAGAGCATGAACCAGCGGCCTTTAAGGACTCGGGTGGCCAGATGGGTGGCGTTGCGTCTGAAGTTTGGGGGCGGTGAGGGATTGAAGGTGGTTAAAGCCATGGTTCTCTGTTTTGGCTTCTCTTCTGTTCTCTTTTAATTGGGTCTTGAGTGAGGTTTAGAAAGGCTTAGTTATAGCGTTTACACGCAGTAGTTTTTTATTGGAGATAAGTTGGTTGTATTTATAAATATTAAAGTTTTGATTTGCAACAGCTTCCATATTTTTAGAGAGAGAGAGAGAGAGAGAGATTCTTTCTGAGAGAGAAAAGAGAAGAAATTAAAAATATGTTTCGTACCGTATAATGTCTATCCACAATATTTTGATGAAAAACCAAAAAATTGATGTCAAACAATACTTTTAAAGAAGGATGAAGTTCTGTTATTGTGTATAATACTGATTATATCTGGTAATTATCCTTTCCTAGAAGGTCTAGGCCTCTCATGGAGAAGAGGTAAATCTAGGCGCTTTGGCAAGTTGGCTCGATTCAACCACTTCGATAGGTGGTCTTCGTTCAGGCACTTGGACGAGTGAACTCAGTTCAACCACTTCGGTAAGTGAGCTTAATTCAGCCACTTTGGAGGGTGAGCTTGGTTCAATGAAAACGACCAGATTCCATGACAGGGATTCATGCGGCTTGTACGACTTATTGTCTTCCATATCAGATTCCGTATTGAAAAACTTCATTAGACATTTTAGTTATATCTGTGTATACATTTAGTTCCACAATTCTTTTGGCTCTTTGATCAAGTTATGTGGGAAGAACAAGAGAATGAGAATACTTTGATTTTTTTGCAGTTACAAGAATTTCTTATTTTCGTTGGGCTTTGTGACTTAGATCATGGATCATCGAGGTGAAAACTCAATTTGATTCAAAATGGTACCATTTTTAACCTAGGGACACACCGACGTTTCCTTCAAGGAGTTAGATCATTCATATTCTTCGATGATTCATGACCGACCTTCTCCTGGGGGCACTTTGTGCTGCACCTATATGGATTAGCCTCTTGAATTATTGTGGTGCATGGCACATGTTACATTCTCGGAGCCTCGGCTCTCTTAAGGCAAATAGTCATTTCAAATCATCAATTCAATCTGTTGAGATCAACAAAATTTTTATTTGTGATCGAAGAGAAACCATCTAGTTGATTCGATGGCAAAGGACTAGTTGGTCGTGACTCGCCCTAGGACGTCCATTATTACATCATTTGGGCTGCCAGTAAAGAAAGTACAAGGATAAGTTGGAAGTTATAAGTAACATTGATTGTAATAGTTATTAAAATCTTAAGAATTTGCTTCTTTCAGGGTTTAATGAGAATTTTGGGAGAACCATAAGTCCTTTGTTTTATAGGAAGTTCACTCGCGGCTAGTAAGTGAGGCATTTCTTTGACACTTCGTTTTTCGCTATGAGCAAGATTTTTACTGTTGAGATGAAAATTGCATGTTCTCGTATGGAAGGCAACATTTGTCATAGAAAATAGTCAGTTGTTCAGATATTGGAAGATGAATCTTAAAAAAGAACCAAGCTTTTTATGGATTGTAGTGTCATGACAGAAGGTTCTTATTTTGAGCTTTTTATCAAACCAGCAGGCTTTCCAGACCTGGCCTTAGAGGAAGCACGGGGAACTTATTTGGTCGATAAGTTAATACCGCCTTCTCTAAAATCTTGTTTTCCTAGGAAGATTTCCTCTTAATTGAACAATCCAATGAAGAGCCAGCTTCTCGACGTGTCCTAAGGACCAAGAGCATATAATTTGTTGGCTTTGGTTGAGCCCCACGCTCCGGGCGCGTTAGTTACATTTTACTCTTGCCAGTTCTGGAATTATCATTAGTGTGATAAGCTCTCCCATGTCCGGTGCATTGCAGGTCAGACTGCCAATAAATTAACAATCTTGGAGATAATGTTCGGGGACTTTCCATTAGTAAGAAGATATTCCCCCAAGTCTGTTATTATTGAGGATGAAGTCCTGAAACAGGGTGATGCTGATTCGTCTTCTAAGGGTAACTTAACATGACCTCATCTATTTGGGATTTTTTTCTTGTTGAATATGATCTCTTACTATATTTAGGGATATCAATCGATAAATATATTGAAAACCTTAGAATGAGTGATACCAATGTTGGGTCCCCCTTTAGAGCTGCCACGTCGATATAAATCTGGATTCCCAATAAAGATATCATTCCAACTATTTTAGAGGCTCCCGCTCTGTTTGAAAGGACCTTGTTGAGCTTTAAACCATCATCCAATATTCATTTTTGCCATGAAGATGATAATAATTTGAGAGAATTACTAGTCACACTGGAAGACAAATTTTTTGAGGCAAAAGAAAACCTTGTTAATCTGGAACCTAGGAAATTGGTTTTCGATCTGAAGTCATAGGATCCAGTTGTTGAATTGCTGGAGGAATTCACTAACATTGGCTAGATACTGGAGATCGTGGAGGTTGAATTAGCCTTTTCCAACAACATTTTGGATTAGGCAATCCCGTCATCTTTATTGCTGGTGGTTGAGTAGTGTTTCAACATCTTCTTTGATTGGGGACTGTTAATATGGAGGATATAAAAAAAATAAATATATTTTCACTTTTTATGCATAAGAATTGCCATGTTTGCACTCATTTTTTTATCTATAAGGTTTGAATTCTTCGAACAAATGTTATACTTGAGAGTTATTTGTGATTGCTTTTGATTATTTATGAATAAGTTTTTAGCACTTATTATATGGGATAATTTATAATCTTGCCTGAAGTCTGTACCCCTCGAGCTTCTTGTTTGTGCTTAGGCATTGATCGATCACATATTTTTTTTTGAAGAAGATGATGGTATAATCATTTTATCATTGATTCCTCTTTAACGTTCTCTTCCTTTTGTTTCATCTTACTAGTGATTTGCTTCTAGTGATGACAACCGACTTGAAAAAGTGGGGTTCAACTCCCTCGATAGCAAGATCTCATAAAGGTTCACAAATGAATTGTGGTTTGCTGGCAGAAGCACATTCAAAATTCGTATTCGACAATATCATGACTTTGAGGTTGTCTAGAAAAGAGGAAATCCAAAACACCATTCATACACATTAAATATGTATGCATTTCAAACAATTTCAATCAGGTTTCAGTTCCCTCTATGCGTGGAGTTGATAGATATTTTAAACTTCTTTGGGCTTGTTCTTGCTCAAATTGGCCTCAACTCAATTGTGAACGTAATAGAGGTCATAATGTATGCTTGTGTTCAATCTTTATTTTGGTTCAGGAACCTATTCTAGCACTCCTTCCTTCTGAAGGTTCAAAATAATAGAATGATTATCTTTTCTTTACAGTCAAAAATGCTAGGTCTTGTAAGCAAGATTCCTACTTATTGGAAGAAATAATTTTATTTTATTCGTAGAAAAATTGATTGGAATTGTCCCAACCAAGCCTCAGCGATTAGGAAAGAAGATGCCTGACTTCCGACTGTTGACTTCTGAAGAGGATAAAATTTTTTGGGTTTTGAATAAGGTGCAGATTGACATTACTTGGTACACTTCACCTTATTTCCTCAAGTAAATGTTGAAAGGCAAAACCTTTAGCTTCTAATTCTGTAGTTATTATTCTTCTTAGACATATCATTGGTTGGCTCGTTGCCTACCATTGTGATTCTTTTGAATTTAGATGAGAAGAACTTATCAACAAATGGCCTGGACAATAGGATTACATCTATTCAATCTCTTCCCATGCCTCTTGGCTTTGCCAGGTCTTCGAGAGCTAGCTTGAGAGGTAATATTCTATAAGGGGGTCTTCCGCCACTTCAGCCATGACATACCAAGTCGAAGTAGTCTCTTATATAGAACTTCTCTTTCAAACTTAAACTGGTTCACCCGATTTTTCTCAGCTTGAGTCTGTAGTATGAGGGATCTCTCCCATACATCCGTAAATTCCTGTCAAAGATTGGTTTTCTCCTCATCCATCCTCTCCACTTTCTCCAAAAGTACAAGCAACTTGCGTACCTCCTCGCCTCGATAAATCTCGATCAATCGAAAGAAGTTGTTCTCAATCTCGTCCAGGTGGTGAGCCAATGACCTGGGGATATACAACATCCATCAATTGCTTCCCCATGGATCTCCAAAGGACTGTATGGGCAGTTAATCCCAGAATACTTGCTCAAGTTTTGGTTACCTTCGAGTGTCAACTAGGCAACCACCCATAGCACCACAGTCGGGTTCTCACCAACTTTTGACGAAGGAGAGTCATCACCTAGGGCTATTGGGACTGGATCAACTGCACCAAGAGACTACATAAAGACGAGGGGATCTATAAATAATTAAAATCTAATAAGCAAGATTGATGCTTTTCATACCTAGCATCAATCCCACTTAGATGTTGTAAGTGGCACAACACTCTTCTTGTGCCACAGGTGGCGGTAGAGCACCAACAGTTTCTTGCAGCCCGGTTGGTGGCATAACACCAATAGTTTCTTACACGATCTATTAGGACAGCAGGTCATGTGCTGCAATAGAAGCTTGAGCTAATGGATCGATGAATGAGCTGGTCACCTCTATGTTCCTTCGCCTCGTGCCGAGGAATGAATATGATAACCCCCACTTAATCCATGAGCGCAATCATTTTTTTTCCCTTAAAGAATGTTTCTCTTCTTCTTTTCATATTCAAGGTGGTACTGCTCCTTTGGTCTCTCAAAGGCAACTGAAGCAGATCTTTGATGGAGATATCAATAGGGGAATTTGGCATGTTCTCCATTGCAACTCTCGAAAACTTCTCATTCGTGTTTGGTCCGTTTTGGCTCAAAATAATTACAATATATATATATATATATATATACCGATGAGTGTTATTTTTAAATAGTTTAATCGATTACAAGGCTGCAAAGATTTATAATCAATTAAAAGTATTAATTAAAAAATAAATAAAATAAAAATTAAATTCTATTTAAATGAATATTTTAATATAAATAAAAAGATTTAAATCTCACTCCGATCACTAACATCCTACGACTACATGACTAAGGCTATGAAAATGACTCGTAATTTATGAACAACTCGTGTTCGGCTCACCAAGCAAACAAGCTGAACATGAACAAATTTTTGAAGCTCGATTTAT